TTGTGTAGCAGAAGTCTTTTTTTAACATAATTCCCAAAAGTACCCAGGATTGCTTAAAAGAAGATTCCACAGTACTAATTAACGATCAGACCAGGAATAGAAATATAGGTGGAACTCTTTGCTGACCTACGTCTTTATTAGCCGAATAAAATTTTTTTAAGTTAACAAAGACTAATTCACCTAATTTTTTCCAGTAAAAAGAAATTCATTTAGGAACAATGTCCTTCCTATCAAAACTCTTTTCTGAATTTGTACATCAGTTGCATGTGTTACTGGAAGTATGCATGTAAATGTTTCTTTATCTTTATGTCTCTTCCAATTAGAGTTGTTATCAAAAGAGAATCATATTTATATCTAACCCAAATTTACTCTTTTTTAACTTCATATTCATGGAATATTGGAAAAATGTGGTATGTGTGGGAAATTTCAACTTCAGAAGATCAAGTATCTACCTTACTACTTGTGAGTGAAAGTAGAAAGAATCAGTGAAGAAGAGAGAGAGAGAGAGAGAGAGAGAGAGAAGCCATCCACTTGTCCCTGTATCACTAAACAAAACTTTATTTACTAATCAACAAAGCACAATAAGATGCAAGCTTAAAAGTAATCAAAGTTTACCTCTAATCCCGAAAATTCCAGAATCCCGAGTTTCACTTTTGAATTGTTTGTCAGGGGAATTTTTTCCAAGATGTGTTATTATTTTCCTTTTCCCTTTCCTTCCCCCTAATTTTAAGATCCCCTTTCTTAGTCATGCTGCACTGGTTTCTCAGACTCCTTCAGTAATTAAGGACCCAAGCAAGACTAGTCTTTTATGTTCCAAACTTATTCATCCTTTCCTCTCATAAAAAAATTACCTGTCATAGATGAATGGATAAAGAAGATGTGGTACACACACACACACACACACACACACACACACACACACACACACACACTAGAATATTACTCAGCCATCAAAAAAATGAAATCTTACCATTTGCAATGACATGGATGGAACTAGAGGGTATTATACTAAGTGAAGTAAGTCAATCAGAGAAAGACAATTATCATATGATCTCACTTATATGTGAAATTTAAGAAACAAAGCAGAGGATCATAGGGGAAGGGAGCGAAAAATAAAAGAGACAAACCAGTGAGGGAGACAAACCACAAGAGACTCTTTTTTTTTTTTTTTAAGATTTTATTTATTTATTTGACAGAGACAGAGATAGCGAGAGAGGGAATGCAAGCAGGGGGAATGGGAGAGGGAGAAGCAGGCTTCCCCCCGAGGAGGGAGCCCGATGTGGGACGCGATCCCAGGACCCTGGGATCATGACCTGAGCCGAACTCAGACGCTTAACGACTGAGGCACCCAGGCACCTGCCACAAGAGATTCTTAACTCTACAAAACAAACTGAGGGTTGCCATCCACTTGTCCCTGTATCACTAAAGCCACAAGAGATTCTTAACCCTAGGACACAAACTGAGGGCTGCGGGGGGGGGGGGGGGGAGGTGGGGAGACGGGGTAACTGGGTGATGGTCATTAAGGAGGGCACGTGGTGTAATGAGCACTGGATGTTATATGCAACTCATGAATCACTGAACTCTACCTCTGAAACTAATAGTACACTATATGTTAATTAATTAATTTAAATAAAATAATTTTTAAAAATTATCTATCATGATCCAGTACCTCAAACTTCTGCTTTTTCGCTATCTACTTAATCTAATGAATAATTCTACCTTTGATACTGGCTACTGATAATGGCCTAATTTTTATCTTTTCTATATTACGTATGCTATTTAATAGAGGCCCTACTACCTTAGTAATTGTAGGGATCCCGACAAGTTCTGGGAGAGTGTGCGGCACTGGGAAATATGAGTTTTAGTTCTGCCCTGTCTATGTGACATGGACAAATGATCTTTGGAAGCTCAGTATGCTCACCGAAACTTTAGAGTACTACTGATTTCACCCAAGGGTAGTCAAGCCTATGTGCATAAGGACTTGCAAAATTCTGAGACAATTGATAGTAAGTATGTAAAAATGCTTAACAATTAAAAAGTGCTGTAGAAATGTATGATATCATTATTATTACTACTCTCATTCTAGTTAATTTAACATAACTTTTCAAAGGGATAAAACTTTTCAGAAGGAAAATGTATTAAAAGCACACTTTTAGTAACTCCTGAAAATTTTAGGAAAACCTTCCCTACTGGAGTCCTTTTTAAAATTTTTTTCTACTTTAAGGAATGATGACTAGTTGCATAAAATGCTATGGGACTCTGCTTATGATAGGCTGATTGGTATTGACTAATGAATAAAATAAGAGATTTATAAAGGAGAAAGAAAAAAGTAAGATGTTGAACGAAACAAAATAGAATTGTGAAGATTAAGAAAGCTATAGAAATTGTGAAATTTAAAAAAATCATTAATATTGAATCTTTATGGATCATTGATCTAAACAAAAGTTGTGTACTATATTTATGAACTATATATATAATGAACTATATATAATGAACTAAAGTTCATTAATCAGTATCTGCTGCTTGGCATTTTCTTCCTAAGATTTTCTTTTTGTCAGTTCATTTCTAATGAATAGATGTCTCTAACAAGTCTACCTTTAATCTTCATAATATGTACATATGCTAAGAAACATTCCAGGATGCAGAAGGAGGAGGTGGAGGAAAGGGAAATTTCAAAAAAATGACTTGTTTATTTGGGGGAGGATAAAAATGTAAATCTAAATGTTCCCTTTACCTCCTTCAAATATTCACAAAATAGTCATAAAATATTTTAAACATGGGTTAAGCCCCTGGGGAAAACAGTTTTCAAGAGTCTGTTACCTACTTATTAATATCCAATACCCAATAAGGAAAGTTAGCAAATAAGACAGCATGTGTTGAAACTGCTCTAGATGAATTTCAACATTTGTGGCATGTTTATATTTTTACAGGATGTGACTCAAAATTTGCTTTGAAGTATTTTGCATTTCTTACGGTAATAAAGAAAAATGTTCAGTTTTCTTCCAATTCTCCATTAATATTTAGATAAAGCCACAATTTTCTCTTTGATTAACCAAAAATACAATCTTAAAAAATATTATTTAGGGAATTTGCATCTAAAATATTATCTGACTTTTTTTTAACCCATGTTTTCTTCATAATAAAAGCAGCTGTTGTGTAGAAATTATGTTCAGGGTAGTGATATTAATTTATTTCTCCATGTATTATTTATATTCTGCAGGCTTCCAAAAAGAATTAAATAGTTATTTTGACATTAAATAGAATTGTAGAATTTTTAAGAACCCAAAACCTAATGAATGATAAGTGAAAACAAGTAAAATTGGCTTAGAACAAATTTTTGCGTTAGGAAAGCACTATGTAAACACTGAGAAAAGTAAGTAAAAATCTTTCACAGCTTGAAATCACTGAGAAGTGTTCTTTCCCTTTTTGGGTTATTAGGTATTATAAGCAAGGAAAATACTATGCACAGGATCTATCTTGATTTTAGTAAGTGATTAGGAAAAGAATCTAGTAGGATTCTTTTATATATGAGGGATATACAGGGATTTTGGTGAAATTCACAGAGGAAGAAAAAAAAATTTTGCAAAAAGTAATGAATGAAACATTCTCACAACCTGAATGAGGACATGCTTTTATCATTATGAGATTGTCAAAACATACTGAATTTTATAAATATCAGAAAGTTCCTTTAAAAAAGTTAGTAAAATCCCAGATTATAATCCAAAGATAATTAATATTTGATCAAGTGCCTACCCCATGATACTCTCCGATGTGGGAACATTATCCGGAACCCTGGGCTTGGTTGTGGCAGAACCCACACTTTACAGGGGCCTTGGCAAACAAGAATATGCTCAGAGAAAGTGTCAGAGATACTGAAGTCTTTGAAAACTATACAATGTAAGAATTTGTTGAAAGAACAAATTGTGTTTGGGCTGAAAACGAGTCTCAGATGAGAGATGCTAACAGCTTTTAATATCTGAAGATCACTTAAGAGGAAGGAGAGAGGCCTCAGAAGAAACAAACCCTAGTACTTGGATCTCAGACTTTTGCCTCCAGAACGGGGAGAAATAAATTTCTGTTGTGTAAGCCACCCAGTCTGTGGTGCTTTGTTACAGCAGCCCAAGCAAGCTTATACAGAGACTATTGTTGTATATAAACCCAGTTTAAATATTAAATTTAAGGTGATGCAAGACTGCGTAGCCATTTTTATAGCAACTCAATCTTTTACAAACTTTACACTTAGAATTCACAGGTAGATTTTATTTTTTCTGTTTATTCTTTTAAAATTAAATTTCATCGAAAATCTTAAACCTAATGGTTTTTTTTCTCAATCTACTCTATTGAAGAGATCTAGTTTAACAAAAAGAGCGCAAGGACTTCACAACCAATTAACAGCAAGCTTAAGTTATATGTAAACTTCCAGGATATGCAAAACATTTAATTTTTATCAAGATGTGTATAGTTAATGACGTTTAGGATGGCAGCTCATAATCTTTTAGAATATTCATGTGCACAAGCCAGCAGTTAACAATAGCAGAACATAGCTTTTTCCAACTTATTCAAATCATCTGCCCCTGGGGCGCCTGGGTCGCTCAGTCGGTTGAGCATCTGCCTTCAGCTCAGGTCATGATCCCAGGGTCCTGAGATTGAGTCCAGCATCTGGCTCCTTGCTCAGTGGGGAGTCTGCTTCTTCCTCTGCCCCTCCCCCCCCCCCCCCCCCGCTCGCGCTCTCTCTCTCTCTCTCTCTCTCTGGGTCTGAAATAAATAAAATCTTTTAAAAAAGAGTCTTCTGCCCCAATTGCGGAATGAACTTAGTCCTGCTTTGCTGTATACCTGTAATCAAGCACTCAGCATGATGGTGTAGGGATATACTGGACGCACATTTGAAAGTATTTTTTAATTTAAAGAATATTATTTCCTATTCCTTTTAGAATTTCCTACTGGTAATATACATCAGTTTTAGGAATTAAGAAAAAAGTTAAGTAAATGAATGTACTTACAGGTCCTATTAATTTAGATGCTTTCTCAAATTCTTCACCCTCTTCCATTAGTGCTTCTTCAGTCCCGGGTAAAGAATCTATTTTTACAAAAAGAATGAATAAATTGTTGTCAAATATTGCTTACTAACTCTGTGATATGTAAACCTATTATGAGAAGGATATGAAAGTGACCAAACTGGTTCTTGAAAAATCATAGTGTTCGTGAGTTAAAATAAACGGTAGAATGCTGTTTATTTAAGGACAACATTTGAAAAATGTTAAGTATTTCTAATTGAGAAGGACTCGATGAGATAAAAAATGTGTGACAACTGCAGTTACGTTTGTCAGAGCAAGTCTGCTTTTGGCATATGATTTAGCTAACTGTTGGAACTTTTATTAATGTCCATTTTCTGGCTTGTAATTTTATATTTGTTTTATTTCTCCACTGTCTCCTTTTCTTTCTTTCTTTCTTTTTTTTTTTTTTGGCTACACAATTTAAGCACCAATTTGTGTTCTCTCTATTAAATGGAATGGCAAATTCTGAAAAGTTTAGAGAAAGGTACATCCCATGAAATGGTAGTGGGTTTTCCATTTTAAGTATCAAGTGAGACGTCCTGATTACTTAGCTTGACTAGATTTGAGGAGTGGGTGAATATTGACTTTCTAATATGTGAATAAAATGATGGCAACCCTTTCCTTATATCTACTGAGTTACATTAATTACAACAACAAGGATTTCTAAGGGTTATAAATAATTCTGCAATAGGATAGATATATGGAACATTAGAAAAAGTCTGTGTTTTAATAACCTTCTATTTGAATTCCAAAAATCAGTTAAGAGGAAAGTATTTTAAACCACTGGAAACTTTTAAAATTGGTTTCTTATATTTATTAATATTTGAAAGAGACATATGAATCCCTCAAGAAGACCTTCCTTCAGATTCACATACATATGGAGGTAGATTTTTTCCACTGCATAAAATGTGCACTCTGGGAATAAAATCAAAGCATTAAATCCTTCAAAAGCTTAATGGTCACCTAAGACCAGAGAGACAGTGGAAAGTTTAGCACAAATCCATAATCATAGCTTTTGAACCGTGGAGCTCTGTCTCTAATAATTCAGAGTTTTACATTCAAGAAGAAAACTTACTAAATCCCAGGGCACATAGTTTATCTAGATGTAAATGTAGATTTTTTTTTTTTTTTTTTAGAACACAGAATTCTTTCCAACATAAAACTAACTTTGGAAGAACGACATACTTTCTTGAGCCATAGATAAATTTTAAAATGTTACCTACCACCCTTCCAAACAAAACAATGACATCCAAAAGAAGCAAATTTTTGTTGATAAAATCAGGACAGATGATGAGAATTACACAAGTTCAAAAATATTAATCCATTTATGAAGAATACTTGAACCCCTACCTACTAACATCCAGTTGTAAGGATGACAAGACATTGATTTTTTAAATTAGAATGTATAAATTAGCATAATTTAAGTCCTACAAGGCTGAATTATATTCTATATAACTGTGAGCAAATATCAGTGTAATTTTAGTATTCACTCACTATTTTTTGTTTCACTTATGTATTAAAATTAAGTAGAATATTGACTTAATAAATAATATTAAAATGTCCTATTCTACATTACAAAGCATATTACATACACAGAAGAAAACCAACCCTCTTGTAAATTTGTTGATTTCTTAAGTTAGAAATGCTCACTATTCTCAAGTTTTTCTCAGTGAGTTAATGATTTTATTTATTTTTAAAGATTTTATTTACTTATTTGAGAGAGACAGAAAGAGCACAAGCAGGGAGAGAGGCAGAGGCAGAAGGAGAGGGTCAAGCAGACTCCCTGATGATCGGGCAGCCCCATGAGGGGCTCGATCCCAGGACCTGAGCTGGTCAGATGCTTGCTTAACCGACTGAGCCACTCAGGCACCCCCAGTTAACGATTTTAAAAAAGTATTGTTATTCTGTTTGATTTTTTAAAATAGATTTTATTTATCTATTTGAGAGAGAGAGAGCATGAGCAGGGGGAGGGGCAGAAGGAGAGGGAGAGGGAGAAGCAGACAGCGGACGCTCCCCGCTGAGCACCCAGCCGACTCTGGGTGGGGGGGGTGCTCAATCCCAGGACACTATCCCAAGAACCAGAGATCACGACCTGAGCTGAAGTCAGATGCTTAAACGACTGAGCCACCCAGGCACCCCTGTCACTCTGTTTGATTTTTAATGCATGTATGTACTAATCAATTCATTCATCCATTTATTTGTGTATTTGTATAATCATTTAATTCAATAAATACTGTATGCCAGGCATTCAACTTGATGCTTTCAAAACAAGTTGAGCAAGATAATTTTCTATGACTCTTTCTCTCTTGGAATATACTTGAACACCTTTACAATATTAATTTTTTAAGAAAAATGAACATTTATAAAGGGAAGGTAGTGGTAACTTTTTATGGTTTTACATTCTGTTCTGTTCTTGTCTTGGTTGAATTCTTCCTGGCTATTGGTGCCATATCCAGTGAGATCTACAATATAGTGAGGTCCATTCAACTTAGTGTAGAAGGACAATGGTGAAGTGCTGCCAGAATATTTGCAAATTTACATATCCATATTAAAAGTTGTTAAGTTGAAAAAACCCTTCTAAATAGTCCAAATCTAGTGCCAGAATATCAATCTAATATACCAGTAGGGACAATAGACATCATGAAAATAAAATCTTCATGTTTAATGCTTGGAGGAGTACATTCCATTTTTTAAGTGTTCTGAGTGCATTGCTTATTAGCAATAATTGGTGGGTGCATATGTGTAAGCTATTTTACTCTATTCCAGAACAATTTCTTTATGACAGTATACTCACTGTACTTAAAAAGTATAAATGATTTTCAAAATTCAAGCAATGAACTCTTTGAGCTTTTTTCAATCGCATGGAGGGGGAAATGAGTATCTAAATTTCTCAAATATTAGAATTTATCTTGTCTTTTCATTTTAGAGAAGAAGAAACCAAAACACAGAAAGACAAAGTGATTTTGTCAAAATCTAACAGTATCTGGCAGCACTGGGCTGAGAAACTTAGCCAATGCGACTGACTGGGCACACAGGTAGGAACCTAGAAATCTGTAGGTTTACCACAATGTTTAACTATATCCAACTTTTTTCTCTCATTAGTTTTACTTTTGCTGTTTATGTCACAACAGAGTTTTTTTTTTGCAGAAAGTTACACCTATTTATAGAAATATGTATGTTTATTGAGCCAAACAATGTGGATGCACAGTTGACATAAAAAATCACATCCACACCTTCAGATGATGCCAAAAAATATTTAATTACTGAATCTAGTAATCTAACTTAAGTGGAAAAGAGTGTATTGAATCAGAAAATTATATTTTGTAATTTGCTGATTCGGTTTACTAAAATTTGAAAGTAAAGAATTCAGGATATAAGCAGTTCAAGAAAGGAGCTTAATGAATATTGTCCCTCCCCCCCCCCCGTGGATGCAATGAAGTATAATCAACCACATATTAGTGACAATGCGTTGTGAAAATTTTCCAAAAACTTTAAATCCCTACAATACTCAGTTATTATGTAAATGTGATTGCTGAAGGATATATATCTCCTTGGTGGGTTAGTGGATTCCAGTGGTTTTGAAAAAATTAAAAAATAATAATGGGCCAATAATTAAATAATATCTGCTTTTTGTCTAGTTTTATACCAGGCATGATGGGGAACACAAGAAAGCCTCAAGAAGCATATAATCCAATGGAGCAAGAACAACACACAAGAAGTAATTCAGAAACTATTAGGGAAAAAGGAAAAAGAAAACTGGTGTGGGGTGGACACCAGGGAGACCTGACATGATCTTAGAGCACAGAATCTGAATGGGCAGAGGGGAGGAAAAGAATTCACTATGAATCAAGGAAGAATGGCTTAAGTAAAGGTACACATGCAAGACTATCAATGAAGAGAAGCCAGGCTGACTCCAAACCTAGAATGTCAAGGAATGGCCAACCTGGGTTCTCCGTTTCGCTAGTGCCACATGGTTCATCTTTCATTGTCAATGTTAAAGGTCTACCATGGGAGATTTTATTTGGGGGGGGAGCAAGATGGCGGAGGAGTAGAAGACCTGGATTTTGTCTGGTCTCAGGAATTCAGCTGATAGGGATTAAACCATTCTGAACACCTATGAACTCAACAGGAGATCAAAGATAAGAAGAGTAACAACACTCTGAACAGAAAAGCGACCACTTTCTGGAAGGTAGGACGTGCAGAGAAGTGAATCCGAGGCGATATTCGGGAGGATAGACGGCGGGGGTGGGGGCCTCCGTCGGCCGCTTCTGGCAAGTGATAGAGCCGCGGAGCACAAAATCGGAACTTTTAGAAGTCGGCTCCGCTGAGGGACGTCGCTCCAGTGGCTAGGCGGGGGGTGGAACCCTCGCGGGACAGTGTGGTCTCAGAACCCTTGGGGTCACAGAAAGACCAGGGGTGACTGAGTGCGCCAGAGCTCCCAGGTATCGGAGCGGGGAAGCCGGCCGCAGAGACGGAGCCGAGGCGCGGGCTCTCAGCTCCCGGTTGCCATAAACTGTGATCCGCGGCCCAGTCAGGCCACTGCTCCTCCAGCAGGGACCCAACAAGCAGCAGAGCCGGGGGGACTCCCCTTCCTCCCCCGGGAGGAGCGGCGCGGAAGCGCAACGCAGGGATCTGCTGGGTTTGGAGACTCCACACGGGGTCGGGTGCCAGAGATAGAAACGCTCGGTCACAGGCCGGGTGAGCATGGAGTGCGGGGCTGGAGACCGGGGAGACGGGAGTGACTGCTTTTCTCTGGGGGCGCACTGAGGAGTGGGGCCCCGAGTTCTCAGCTCCTCCGGGTGGAGATTGGGAGGCCACCATTTTCGCCCTGGTCCTCCAAAGCTGTACCGAGAGCTTGCAGGGAACAAAAGCTCCTGAGAGCAAACCCGAGCAGTTTGCTTAGCCCGGACTCACAAGGGCGGGGCAATTCCGCCTCCGGCAAAGACATTTGGGAACCACGGCAACAGGCCCCTCCCCCAGAAGATCAGCACGAACAGCCAGCAAGCCAAGACCAAGTTTACCG